CGCAGCTGTTACACCCCATCCGGCCCGACCCAGCACAAGTCCGGCAGCCCACATCTCCGTCGGACCACCGCGAGCAGAGGCACGTGACCCGGCCCGTCCCGTTGCAGGTGGCGCACCGTGTCGAGTCCCAAGGCCCACGGCCCATTGGGCCTTGCTGGGTCTCATGGTCAATGGCAGATTTGACCAGCACAGCTCCGGCGAGAACTCCTAAGCCCGTGGCTAGCTGAGAGGCCATGACCAAAGGACCCATGGTTGAGCTTCAAGAATTTTGCTTTTGAGAATTGTGTGTGAGATATTAGAGAGAGAGAGAGAGAGAGATAACGAGAATATATGAGAGGGGGTAAGCTAATTGGACAAGTTGCTTGGTTAGAGAGAGGAACACGTAACAATAATATTTTGAGTGGGTAATAAGATTTCAAAGGAGGCGGGTGGCTGGGTGGGCTGGTATGGATTGGCGTGGGCGAGGAGTGGAAGCAAGTGTTTCTGGTGTTTCTTGGCCTGCTTGTAGACTGATTATGTGGACTAAGGCGTTTGTGTACAATTGTAATAGGTTGCGTGGGTATGAATACAATGTTTCCCCGCTACAAATCCCCTTTAAATGAGATCATTTTATAGAAACCACCTTTGATTTTCAATTTATATGTAAACCACTTTTTTTAAAAAAATTATTATTACACACAACCACATGGGTTCGCTTTGAAATCAAGGTTTTTCCGATTTTACCATAATAATTAGTTGTTAAATACTAAATATATTAGAGAGATAATCCTTACTGATGGGGACAATTATCATGTAGTTAATTGCAATAAAAACCCCTTCAAATATGATTTACCTGTATATTAAAAATCAAAGATGATTTCTGTAGAATGATCATATTTTTAAAGTGGTTTCTAGGAAGGAAAAAAACCTGCGAATATATGAGTATTGATTAAATGTAGTATGAATTGAAGAATGTGAACGAATTGTTCACGCTACACGTTTTCAAAGGTGAGTGGGGGCCACGCGTGTATCTTTTCCTCAATTCACGTGATTGCGGGGGCCTCACGAGTTGGAGGCAAGCTTTTGTTTCCTGGACAAAGCCCACCCGATAGCAATGTACAACGGCTATATATATACCTTTTTCACGGTTCCTAGGTTTTGAGTGCAAGAGCAGAGGGAAAATCTTGGGCGGCGTGCAAAGGGAAATTGCAGCGGAGAAATTTCTTGCGGATGTGTGCAGGCGTACCGCAGAGAGAAAAAGTCTTTTGGCGGCTGACTTTTGAGGAGAAAAGCAGCGAGTTATTTAAGGGTTTAATTTGTGAGAGCTGTGTGATTGTAAACCCCTATTTGTATTTTTTCTCTCTAATAGTAGATCTTCCCCTCCTTGCCCCGTGGACGTAGGCAACTTGCTGAACCACGTTAAAATTGGTTGTTTGTGCTGTGATTTGTAATAGCTTATTTAGGTTCCCTCGACAGGTCAGTCGTAGAACTGATGAGAGGAAGAGCCGATATCCCACTTTGTTGAGATATTTTTCTTTTGGTTCTTATTTCCTTGGTGAAACGGGAATTCCTATTGTGATCTTACTCTCTTATTGTGCTGAGGTGCTGCCGAAATTTCTGCTACGCATAACAAGTAGTATCAGAGCTCGGGCTACCCTTTGGCAATTTGGAGGAGTAGATCGCTTTTGAAGCTCATCTAGGGTTTTAATTGGAGTTAAAGGTGGGATCGTTTTGGTAAAGGCTCTATCTTTCTCAAGTTTGGATCTATTCTTCAGTTTGTTCCGCATTGGTTGTTGGTGTGTTGAGGAATATGGCTGGGAAAGAAGGTGTTGAGGGTGGTGCTTTTGGTGTGAAGACCATTCAAAGTTTTAATATCCACTCTACGAAGATAGATGTAGAGCACGAACAACTTTAGACTTTGGCGATGCGAAGTTTTGGATGCGCTGAACGCACAAAATTTGGAGGATACTTTGGAGTTGGATGGCAAGCCAGATAATATTGAAGAGAATATTTGGAAGAAGATGAATCGGACGGCGTGTGGTGTTATTAGGTCTTGTTTAACACAAGATTTAAAGTATGATGTGATGAATGAGACTTCTACAAAGAAAATTTTGAAGACCCTTGAGAGCAAGTATTTGATCAAGAGTGTGGAAAATTGCTTGCATTTGAAGAGGAGGCTTTATCGTTTCTAATTGAAGAAGGGAACCTCCATTAGTGATCACATGAACCACTACACGAAGCTTCTTACGGATTAGGCGAATGTGGATGTTATGATTGAAGATGAGGATAAGGCGTTGTTGTTGTTGAGTTCCTTGCCGGATGAGGAATAAGAGACCTTTGTTCTTACCCTAATTAATGGGAAGGCGTCCCTTTCATATAGTGAGGTCACCGCTGCACTTGTGAACTATCAACTTCGAAAGAAGGATAAGGAGGTTTCAGTTGAGCCGGTAGTGGAGGCATTGGTCGTAAGAGGGAAGAATCCTAACTGAAAGAATTGGAAGTCACAGTCTAGAGTAGAACATCCTACAGTTAGAAAAGATCAGTGTGTTTGGTACAAGGAGACTGGTTATTGGAAGAAAGATTGTCCAAAGCTCGACGAATGGATGAAGAATAAGCAGAAGGGAAAAGGGAAATAACCATCATCAGAAGAAAACATCATTATATCTGATGGTAATATTTCTAATACTTCTATTTATTTACTTTCTATCAGTCATACAGGTTGCTATTCGGATGAATCTAAGTGGATGTTGGATAGTGGTATGACCTATCATGTGTGCCCTAGAAGGAAATGGTTCTCTATTTTTGAGAAACTGGAAAGTAGTGTGGTGTACATGGGAGACAACCGTGCACGTCAGATCCTTGGGATAGGAAGAATTCACATCAAGATGTTTGACGGGACTGTTAGAGAGTTATATGATGTGAGATATGTTCATTCCTTGAGGAAAAACTTGATCTCAATTGGAGCTTTGGTTGGAGAAGGTCTGAAGGTTCGTATTGAGGACATGGTTCTCGAGATTGTAGAAGACTCTTTGATTGTGACGAAGGGCATCAGGAGGAATAACATGTATTATTTGATTGGAGATATAGTGACAGGTGGAAATCTGGTGACTTCTGTTGATTCGACTAGAGTATGACATTTGAGGCTTTGTCATTCCAGTATTGATTTGAAGATGGGTGCAACGACCTTCAATTTAAAATCCAGTGAACACTTTGGTGTGAGTAAGAAGACCGAGGTAAAGTTTGGCACCTCTATTCACCACATGGAGGGTCTTTCAGATGGGGTTCATATGAATGTTTGGGGGCCTTCCAAGGAGGCATCATTGGAAGGAAATAGATGTTTAGTTTCCTATATTTATGGTTGTTCTAGGTGTGTTTGGATTGCAACCAAATCCCTTTTGGATAAAGTCGTAGTAGTCTCTAACAGATTGAAGAACTGTATGATAGACAGAAAGGTGAAGGTACTTCATTCTAGTTTTGGTGGGAGGTACAAGATAGACCTATTTCTGTATTGGAGCCGAGCTCACGGCATTTCGAGACACTTCGTTGGAAAGGAAATCTTGGGACAACTAGATAGGGTGGCAAATTTAGAGAGTCGTGCCTTGCTGGAGGAGGATTGGTGTTTGTTATCAAGCAATGGTTTACAGAAGAGTTTCTGGACTGAGGCATCGACATATTTGGATCATCCTATTAAAGAGTTGTCAACTGTTATGATTGGAGGTAAAACTCAATTGGATATTTGGTCTGGTAATGTCACATTGGATGAGGCTTCGATGAGGGAGCTTATTGACTCTCAGCAGGTGGAGAGTTTTGGACAGATCATAGAGATATTACAGCAGGTGGAGAGTGATGCTACTTCACATTGGGTGGAGATTACTCCACATTCTTCATATTATTCTGTATTATTTAGGATTCTAGCTGAGGTGACACAGTTTGAGGATCAATTGGTTTTGGATGCAGATGATGAGTTAGGCTTTGATTCGAGTGCAGCTGATAGATGTAGTTTGGATATGATCATTGGTTCACCTCAGGTGGAGGTGTTTGATTCGTTGCACTTTGAGGCCATTAGAGGTGCTATCAGCCACAGAGTTGATGATATTGGAGGAGAGTTGTGAACTCTTCTATTGGATTGAGGGTCTTTGGAGGCCATTGGGTGAACTACGTGAAGGCTTGATT